TTTCAGTATAATGGATCTAAGCACATTTTTGGTCTCTAACAATGCTTTAAAAATGTACATTCAAAAGGTGATCCCAGGATATTAATAAATAGTACATGGAAAGGGGTTCTGTGCTCAGATTAACTTTAGGAAACACTGAGATAGGTGAGATTTAATGGGTATATATTTCACAGTACTTCTTAAAGATTTTGACATGCTATGTCAAAGAGGAGTGGGATGTTTTGAACATTTACTAAACACATTTGACCATAGAGTCTTTTTTTTTAATGGAGGCTCTCATGGAATAAATATTACAAGACCACTCTATCATTTATGTGTTATATGCAATTATAGAAAATATTTTTAAAAAGCTTTGCCTAAATGATGAAGAGAGATCTCAACCAGTAAATTGTCAGCTACCAGAAACTCTTGAAGATGCTTGATATATCTATTGCCTTTTCCATCCACCTTCCATTTTACCGCATCCTACTCCATTGACTAAGATTAACAAAAGTTGATATTTACTGAGCCTGTACTATATGCCAGGCTATTTTAAGTGCTGTAACCCTCACAGTATTATTACTATTCAAATTATATAAATGAGGCAACCTGAGGCACTGAGAAATTAAGGAATTTCCCCACAGTCACCTGCATGGTATGTGGTGGAGCCAGTGTACAATCTAGGCAGAGCTAAGGCTCCTAGCAACCACACAAGTTTCTTTCCCAGAGAGAGAAAGAGAGAGAGAGATTAGATGATGCCCCTCTCTCTTTCATCCACTGCCTATGATAGGTTTAGTTCTCCAGTACCCCACTCTCTCATCTACCTCCCCATCCACCCAACCTTCAACCTTCCATCCAGTCTTCAGAGGAAGGGAAGTGACTCTTCCTTCACACAACACCTGGTGACTCCAATTAAGATAACCTCTGTCTGGCCATGTGGTCTTTTGTTTCCTTATTCTAGATGGTGAAACTTCTTTCCAAATATCTCGTTCAGCAATTCCACCTTGATGAAAGAAATCACAAGTTTTGGAAAGAAGCAGATTACAAATTCAGTCTTTTAACAATTACCCTAGGCAGCACAGTGTGACAGAAAGTCAACATACATCTCTTGTATTTGTTTGAAATTTATTTTGATGAGGAAGAACTTTCTCTTAGCTGAGATTCCTCTAAATTTCCTTCCTAGCCTCCAGAATAATATCTCCAGGTTATTCCTCTAGCCTTCTTCCACCCTCAGCAGTCTGTCCAAATTTTCACTACTTCTTCCCCTAAATAGAAAAAAAAAAAAAAAATGTCCCTTTGGCTTCTTCCTCACCCTCCCTCATCAAACTCCACCTTTCAGTCATGCTTAGGTGCCCCTGATCTCCACTCTAAACCTCTTTCACCTCATTTCTCTTTTTCTCTCATTACAGATTCATCTCTGCTGCTCTCTGCCTCCCACTGCCATGTGACAAATCCCTTTTAAAATAGCTCTGGTGACTCACCCGGCGGATACTGTATTCCATTTATATGTACCTTTTCTATTCCCCAAGGGGCATAAAGAGTTTCACAGAAATTCAGGCTTATTTTTACCTCGGTCTTGTAGAAGAATTGTCTGTAAGAAAGGAATGAAAATATAGTTTGGGCTTTTGTCGGAATAACATGACTATTAAGGCTGATAACCAGGTTTTCACTTTTCCAGGTTTTTTCTTCTCCTCACTTCCCTCTCCCTTGTGCTTGTTATTTCCTTCAGGATTTATTAGTAGCCTCACCAGAAGTTAGACTTTAGTCTTGCCAAGTAGTTGTGCTGTTTCTGAACCAGTCACCCATGCTAGAACCCTCAGAGCTGGTTCCAGGCCTCTATTAGGTTCATGCCCATTGACCAGTGGGTAACCAGGGGGTCCTCACCTCTATTTCCACTGCCACGACCTGACTCAGGCCAGCATCTCCTCCAACCTGCACCAAGGCAGTGATTGCCTAATGGCCCCCACTGCCCTCAACCATTTTCCTCCAAATTATTATTCTCTGTCCCTTATCTGAGCATGCTGCAACCTGGGTCCCTCTGTCTAGATCCTATCCTTTGTCATGGAACTCAGGACTTCTTAGTCTGGCTTCAAACTACCTTTCCTCTATAAACCTCTATAAACCTGAGCTCTGTAACTCACCCATCTTGGAAACAAGCAGCTTCCCCACACATGCCTCAATTTCCGTGCCTCTGTGCTTTCGTTCATTTGGCCTTTCTGGCAGGAGTGCCTACCCTTGCCTTTTCCTGGCAAGCTCTTTCTCAGGTTCAAAGACACCTCTTTGGCAAAGCTTTTCCTAACTTCCCCAGAGTGGACTTAAATACACAGAAGACTGTATTCCTATAGCTTTTTATGATAACTGTTAGAGAAGAGATATGTATAAGATAGTATGGATCACAAAAATGTATTGGAAGGCTATGATGTCCCAGGCACAAGTACACAGACATCAAATTCATAGTCCTTAACCTACTTCTAAGTAAGACAGAAAATAAAGTCAAATAAAATGGTATTTCAGGGTGATATAGGTAGTAATAGAGATGAGCCCATGGGCTGAGCAGGCACATAGGGGTGACGGAGCTCATCTAGGCTGGTGACATCAGGAAGGTCTCCAAGAGAAGTCACACCGTGAGCTGGGCCATTTGGAACATCCAAATGGGAATGGCTTTGATGACTGTCACAAGTTTCAGGACAGCAGGCTAGATCCTGTGCCCATGTGCTCTGCGGGTGCTCAACAGATATTCAGGACATTGAACACATTAGAAAAGGTTTGGTCTGTGGATCTCTGAAACTCCATTGATACAACCCAGCCTCGTTCTTCCTCTGGATGGTTGGCTCCAATTGTGTTCTCACAGATCCAACCTTAGCTTAGCCAATGAATAATGAAAGTAACAAAGTGATTTCCAAGAATGCTATTTTCTCCTATCCAAGTCCTGGCTCTCTACAGCCAAGGAAACTGGTGAAAGGAGTCACTGGCCCAAGGTGTTTGGCATACACAGCTGAGCCACACTGTGAGTCACACAGTCATGCACAACTAATGTGCTCCCTGGCTAAGCAGTAAAGGCTCATGAAGTAAAGGTAAAAGGTGTTGCACCATGCCAGGCCAAGTTCAGAAGTCACAAGTTCCAGAGACCCCTCTCAATTGGCTTCCTGACTCCTATCTTGTTCTCTACGTTCCATCTTCCACCTGGTAGCTCATGTCATTTCCCACAGCCTTTAAAATGAAGTACATGCTCTTTGGTCTGGCAGACAAGGCCCTTCATAATATCTGCTCTGCCTCCCTGATATCACCTTTTGTACCCACTTCCTAACCCCCGCACAGTCCGTTGGTCATATTAAACTACTCACATTTCCTTAATTCATCAGGATTTCTCTTACCTGCAGGCCTTTGCCTGAGCTGCTTGTTTTTTTTGCCTAGAATGCACTGAAACCTTCAGCATAACTCTAAATCATCCTTCTGGTCTCAAGATAGAGGCTATTTTCAAAGGAAAGCTCATCCCTACCCTCCCTTCATGCTAAGATCTGGATAGGTTTGCTCCTGTGTGTTCAAAACTCACACCCTCTGCTTTCTCCATCATCCCACATATTACACTGCATTGAAATTGTTTGCTTACTTGTGTGTCCCCCCAATGTAAACTCCCAGAGGGTAAACACCTGAAGGATTCCCCATTGCATTCCAGTGCCCAATCAAGCATCTGGAATGCATTAGGCATGCAATGCACTAGGCATGTATTGGTGGAGTGAGTTCCTGGGGAAGGGAAACAAGAAAGATTTTCCCAGAATGTGAGGTCTGAGAAAGCAGGGACTTTGTCCTGTTCACTCTGCTGTGTCTTCAGTTTCCGGCATATAATAAACCCTCAGTAAACATTTATTGAATGAATGAAATCTGTAGGTTAAATAAGGATAACCCCTGAATCATCTCTTTACATATGGTTTCATCCTAAGGGAATTGTCTTCTGAAGTGAAGAAGACAGCATGACACAGTTGTCAACACCCGGAAGCTTCCATGAGTTCAGATCTAAACTCTACCCCTCACAGACCAAAGGACCTTCAGAAAGTTAACTAACCTTTTTATGCCTCAGTTGTTTTGTCTTTAATCGAGGTCTGTTGTGTGATTAAGTGAGCTAATATTTGTAATCAAGAAAATAGCTATGGTTATATATTTTAACAACTATTTATTATTTTTTAAAAAAAGAACAGTCTTATAAAATGAAAAGTCAAGCACTGCCCATATTCTTCCACACATCCTATTATTATTATCCCAAATAAATCCTTAGGGCCTGGGAGACATTTGGGAGACAAACCATTCCATTCATCTTTTGTGACTTTGTTATTTTTCAGCCCTCATAAAGCAGGTTATCTGTTCTTATTAAGGGATTGCTTTCTCTAAGACCGTGTCTGAAGTTTATTTTAGACAAACAGCAATGAATATGGATAGGTGACCACATCATTTGCTAGGAGGCAACTTTTTAGTAGTTTCCACTCTGATTCACTACTTGTATGACTACTAGTAAGAAAATTTGAGCAACTTGCCTTTGTCTACCCTCTGGAAATTCTTGATATTGCTAAATGTCCCCATAGGACTAAACAACAGCCAATACTTTTCACTTAAAACTATCAAGACAAGGTCAGGTCTTCCTATTTAGAGTCTGACAGAACAGAATGTATACATCATCACCTACTTGGTTAGTAAAACCCTAAGCATGAAACAAATCAGCAATTTAATTAGCATACAAGAGAGCATGATTCTGGGGTGTTGAGTGACCAGATGAACATTTAATTAAAAGTTTAGTGCAAATTGTGATCACATGAAGAAATGCTGCATAGGTCAGCATTTGGAGCATTAAAAGCTTATTCACAGTAAAGTATAACATGTATGATAACTACAGTAATGGCAAGTACAGAAATCCTAATAAGGTAGGGAGATTATTCTCCAATTCAAAAGGTGTTTATTTTTACTTGAATAAAGTTTCTTTATACCAAAATTCTAATTTTTGCTAATAGGACAAAAAAAGGGACAAGTTGTGTCATTTTATTCCTTTAATAGGAAACCAAAATAAAACACAAAGAGGTGAAAAAACAATTGAGTGAAGCAAATTTTTGAGTAGTGAACCTTCAGAATGGGAACCCAGTGAAGACTGGATTATTTTCTCCCATATTCTATAAATAGAATTCTATTATAGAGACAAGTTACAATAATCTCGAATTGTTGCCATTGTCACAGCTGTAACTTGTGACTCATGTGTAAAGAACCATTATAAGCTGGACTCTAAGAGTGATCAATATAGCTTTCACCTCTGATAAACACTAGCCAGAATCTCTTCCATTACGGTTACCATCAAAGAGAGGTACAAGTAGGACAGAAATCAAACACAAATGATATACTACCTTTCCCTACATACAATGAATAGACTAGGGAACTCTTCTTAATAATAAATAATTTATTAATTAGAACATATAAGTGAATACAGAAGACATTTAAAAGTAAAAATACAAAGGAATAATTTTATTCATGCAATACTTTCATAAAAGGTGAGTATAAACTCAGTCCATGCGTGTGTGAAGTGAAATGAGCTTGCTGGCTGGAGAGGGACAGGGTGCCAGAGGCTACTACCCAGTCAGGGTCACAGCTGTATTGGTCGATTGCTGGGTTCCTGTTGGCTTGGTCTGGATCATGTTATTTCTGGTGTTGGATTTCCTGTCCATGCTCTTGACCACGTCTTTCACCCACCTGGCTTGTGGATCAGCACAGACTTTTAGGCCACGTTTGGTAATAAAACTGTAATGCAAGGAAAACACAGACGAATTTAGCCACATTCTCAAAGCCCTGGGGTCAAGAGTTAAGATCAGAGCAGACTTGAAGAGATCTTGTGCAGAAATTACTGCAAGAAATAGTCTTTCAGAGCCATGAGATCAAAAATGGGCACCCGTCTTCTGTCATCTATTTTAACATAAAGGAGAAATATCTGCAAGTAGTATCCAGCCCCTTTGTTCACCACAATTCACAGGTTCCTTTTCTCATCCATGTCACCAAATGTTGTAACAAAAAGACATCTGAGGCCATCTAGTTCCATTATTACATACACTCTTCCTTTTCAAATTTAAAAGTACTCATCTTATATTTTTAATAAAAGCTGATATTTACGTTTTCATTTTTTAGAGTAAAGCTTGCAATTATGTGTTGGGAAGAGTTATTACTTCTAAAAATGAGATTCTGGTAGAAGAAGGGGACCATGTAGTTTGTGCATTGACTCATTTCGTTGAAATATGGCAACTGATAATCAAGGGACTCTGCCTAACTCAACCCTAAGAACCCCCAACTCCAGTGAGGCTTGCAGGGAAACCCTGACATGGGTCAGCCATCTTTAAACCTAGACCTCAGAGCTATGCACAGTATTCAACAGACTCTTCCACTAAGCTAAATAGAGGAGGACTTCTATTATTTATTTGGCAGCCAAATTTTTGCAATAATCTCCATTCAGTTGGGCTGCATAAAGACGTGATTGACAAGGAAAAATAAAGAGCTTGTCAGTTAAGCTGAGCTGTTCCTCCATGTTGACCTACTTTTCCTGAGGAAGGCAGCAATTCTGTATACTCTACTTCTATACCTCTAGATATCCACCCAGCCCAGCTTCTGTGGAGACAAACTCACATTACTGCTTTCAAGGAGCCTTCCTTGATGGTGTAGGTCTTGATTCTGTTAACTGGCAGTCGCTGGGTAGTGAGGCTCACACAGGTACTCTTATCTGAGACTTCACTCCCTACACCTGGTGAGAAAAAAAAAACATACAATGAAAAATTAAGCTATTATCAAAATCATAGGAACAATCACCTGTTAAATTACTCTAAGAATGTTGTGAGAATATAAGACCATTTGCTTTTTGGGGGAAGAGATGACTGACAGGCATCCTGAATCTCTTGCCCATCATAGATTCTTAGTAAATATTTGACTAATTTAAAACCTCAATCAATAGAATTGTTTCAGGAATTTCATGCTGAGACAAAAACAAGATGTTTTCCCATCTCTATGTATATTTTCACTTAGACATTTGGGACGGCTAGTAAATGTCCCAGTGACACTCATTCATTCATTTATACAACAGTGCCTGTTGTGTCCCACATGTTTTATTAAGACAGACATTTTGTCCCTGTTTTCATAGAGCATTTCTTCTAATGAGGGAGCCAGGCAACAGACAGGTAAACAGAAAAGATCATTTCAAATAGTGCAACATGTTACAGTACTGTAAGTGAGATTACAGAGTAATGTGTGAAGAGTACTGTAGGCAAGGTAACATTCAGTGGGGGAAGGCTATCCTCCACAAGCTGCTGAAAGTACCTTCTGCCATTAACCAGTTCACCCAGTCCTTAGACCCCCAAACAGAGACAAAGCAAGAGACAAAGCAAGAGAAGAAGCAGATACTGTTGGCCCAGGCTGAGAAGAAAGCTGCTGGCAAAGGGGGTGTCCCCACTAGGAAATCACCTGTTCTTAGAGCAGGGGTTAACACCATCACCACCTTGCTGGAAAACAAGAAGGCTCAGCTGGTAGTGATTGCACCTGGTGTGGACCCCATCAAGCTGGTTATCTTTCTGCCTGTCCTGTGTCCTAAAAGGGGTCCCTTACTGCATTATCAAGGGGAAGTAAGGCAAGACTGGGACATCCAGTCCACAGGAAGCACACTGTCGCCTTCACACAGGTTAACCAGGAAAACAAAGGAGCTTTGGCTAAGCTGGTGGAAGCTATCAGGACCAATTACAATGATGGATATGATGAGATCTGCAATGTCCTGAGTCCAAAATCTGTGGCTTGCATTGCCAAGCTGGAAATAGGAAAGGCTGAGGAACTTGCCACTAAACTGGGTTAAATGTACACTGTTGAGTTTTCTGTACATAAAAATTATTTTCTGTACATAAAAATAATAAACACTTCAAAAAAATTAATAAATGGTAAAAGGTAAGATATATGTACGTGGAAGTCAGCCTTAAAATATTCATCCCCAATAGTAATGGCCCAAGGGAATTAAACTATTGAGTTTAGAGAACATCTAACATTGCAAAAGGAAAAATAACTTGGGAGAATTAATACTGTTAAGGGTTGGGTAAAATCTAATCGAAGTTTCTAAGTGCTGATTTTCTCCTTAACTGTAGACACTGGTCTTTGCTTCCCAGAGAAATAGGCAGCTAAAAAGCATCTAAAGTAACCACTGATAATGATCAAGTTTGGTCTGTAGTGTTGCTAATATCAGAAGGCATTTTTTAAAGCATGGAACTAAACAAAGAGTGTTCACAGTGTGCTTTTCTTCATCATTCCTTCTCCTCTCCTCCACTCTCAGTGCCAGTCTGCACATTCCTACCCTCTACCTTTGCCAATATATTTTTAATGCTGAATTGTTTCTGCAACCAATGAAAGAGGAAAAATCTGGGCTTTTTCTCTGTTTCTCTCATATTTAAGAAACAAGATTTCTCTCTGTGAAGTATCTGAAATGGACTCCCAAGACTCAGGGAATCCTGTTATACTTGAAACCACAAAGCCTTTTCCTTATTCTCAGCAATGTTTGTGTGTCTGTTGCAGAGTTGAATCAAAGCAGAGACTGTTTGCCTCATTTTTGTAAGTAAGAAGCTAAGCACCAGTGGGACTTATAGAGCTCCTTCAGCTAGAAAACTTGGGAATTTGAGACCAGTGTCTGCAGTTCTTCTCAGCCTCTAACAGACCTCCTTTCCCCTACTCCAGATCTGAATCTCCCTCAGATGGTATGCCCATTGTCTCAGCAAAATGCCAGCCAGGTAGCAACATGTGGCCTAATGTAGTAATCAAACTTTTTTGTTTCATCAATATTTTTTTGTTTTGTACACAATTTCAAGGACTTCCAGACAGCAACCTTTATTCATGGAACCCCTTCGGGACCCATTATTAAGTTATGATATCATAGTCTAAGTAATAAGTCTACCAATTAGAACACAAATAAGTAGACAAATTCACTCCAGTCATAGGAAAAAGTAATCCTTCAAGAAATATCTACTGAATGCTCAGGTAAGGGCTCAGTATAGCTGAATCTTACCTGGATGTGTCTTGCAGGTTTATTGAACTGTGTGTAAGTTGCTGACCTATTTGTTAGTAGTTATTATTGTATAGTCTCTTACAAATAGAGAAAATTTCTCATAAATAGTAATATTTATGGCATTACTAACAGAGTCCCCCACGTACTTGAAGGTAATATTGATTTTCTGGACATGAAGGTCTGAACTTCCAGTCATTTGGGGCTTGGTTTTGTATTGAAAACATTGATTTGCTCCAGAGCATATATCCTCTGATGCATCCCCACATTGTAACTGAACGCTCAAAGATTTTGATAATTTATCAAACAATATATTAAATGGGCAAAAGCTACAAATGCATTTATAATCATCACCTCTAATCCATAGCTAACATTGATCAAAAAATTACTGTTTGCAAGGAAATCTGATGTTATTAAATAAATAAACCATAATATTTATTTAATCTTAATCTCAGGTGATCATGTCTGTTATCCTATTCAGTTTACACATAAATAAGCATAGGTCCTGAGTGGTTAAGAAATGTGCCCAGAATTACCCAATTAGGAAAAGTAGGAGCCCAGATACTAACCAAATTCTCCCTGTTCTGGGAGTTTACGAAGCCCCCTACAGTCAAAATCATCATTCCTTTTTTGCACATGGGAAGTTTAAGGCTCGCCTGAGGAAAGCAGTTTACTCCAGTTAAAACCTGAGTCAAACCCAAAATGTGTGCCCACCTGCCTTGCCTCCCTGTTCTTTATCTCACAGACAGCTTCTTGACTTACCTTCCACAATGTATGCAGTGAGACAGCAGATGCCAAGAAGGGCCAGGGTGAGAAGTCTCATGGCTGAGGTCCTGCTGAGCTGTGCAGGGAGAGAGTGAGGATCAGGCTCTTTCAGGACCTCTTTTATGCCTCCAATGGTCAGCGCACTTCCTGTGGTGAGAGGGGGCTTTTGAGGTGGGTGTGGGATCATGGAAAGTCTTTGCAATACTGATGCTTTTTATTTTCTTTAAAAAAAAAAAAAAAAAAGTCCCTTTTCCCTGTTCATACTAACCTAACGCCTTGTGGCCTTTAACCCTTTGTCTGTGGTTAATGTGTCAATGAAACCAAATGTATGCATAGAAGAAAATGTGGTTGTGTTGTCTCTTGCCACCAGCCTGAATTCAGATCTTCCGCTGTAGACATGCCTGAAGGCTGTTCACTGCCATGGTCCAGCGCGGAAACTGTAAAGGAAATGAGGTGGAGTGGTCACTGTGTTCCATCCCACCTCATGTGACATCCAGTGTGACATGAGGCTTCCACAGCCATGGATCATGAGTCCCTGGTGCCACCCTTTGACTCTCTCAGGAGGGGAAGAGAGGCTGCTGCCACACTGAGCTTTGCGATCCTTTGCTTTCTTTTCTGTCATTTTTCTCCTCCACCTTCATTCAAGTTGCCCTCCTTTCTTCATCCCAATCTCCCCAGGTACCTAAGAAAGAATAACTGTTTAAGCATGTCTATATGCATATGTTTGCTTTATTACAACTTGACATACACTTTTATAGAAGCTTTTGAAAAGTTGTGCTGTACCAACTTATTTCAAATAAAAAGGAAATAAAATGATCTATAATCTTACCATCTGACAGTTTCCATTTTTAATATTTTTCCAGTGAATCTGTATTGGCATACATGTGTTCTCATAATTGTAGTCACTTTAAATGCTGTTTTAACACCAATTTAAATATCTTCCTGTTTTTTTAGCCTTCATATTTCAACTTCAAGTAAATATACACACATACATATTAAACCATTTTCTTGTAACTTATTATAAAGATCAGAACTGTAAGATCAGTTTCATTAATATATACTGAATTACTTCCCTTTAATAACCAGAGGTAGGATTACTGGGTAAAATGATATGATCATTTTTATAGCTCTTATTATATATTGCCATATAATCTCCCCAGATGTAATTTTAATTTGCAATGCTCCCAGTAGAATTTAAATATACTGATTCCACTGGAACTTTTCTGCCACTGAGTTTGTTGTATGGTGGTTGCTCTTTATTTTACATAGATACCTATAAAATGTATTTATTAAATATATGTGTAGTTAAAGGTTTTGCATTTGCTATTAGGAATATGAAAATAAATTCCTATGTTTTCATAAAAATTATAGGTTAACCTCTAAGAGACTTTCCACTAATCACGTTTGATTTTTCACCCAGACTTCATTCTAAACTTCCAATTGGCTCTTTAATGATCTCTACCTTACTACACAATCACTCCTTGAACACTGGACACATCTTCTTTTCAAACTGCTTCTCCTCCTATTAGTCCTTAGCATAGAGCAATGTGTTCTCTTCCATCTAATTTCCAAATACTGATATATAGGGAGCATCTTAGATTCATTGCTATCTACCCACGTGTCATTCATTCTCAACCAAACTGGACTAAGTATACTTTTTGAGTAGTTCTTTGACATGTCTCCTCCTTTCTTCCCACACTGCTCAAATGTTAGGCCAATTGCAGTGGACTAAGTGGTTTCCCAGTCTAGGGCCTCCTCTCAATCTGTTCTCTGCAGCTTTGCCAGAGTGATCTAATCTAATCATGCCATTTCCCTACTGAGAACCTCTTTGCCAACTTCCATTGCCTACAGGATTAATTGCAAATCTTTCATTGTCATATATAAGAATGCTCAAGATCTAGTACTGCTTTTCCTTTCAGTACTGCTTTTCCTTCCACCATTCACTCACACACTCCCAAACCTTAACAAATACATACATGTGCAGCCAACCCAATGGGCCAGCCTCTTTTATAAATATTTTCTCATATTTTCATAATCTCATATTTTATTTTCATAAAAGAGGCCAGCCTCTTTTATGCTCCTCACATGTTTCTTTTAACTGGAATACCCATGACAGCTCCCTACATAGTTACTTGTAAACTTCTCCTCTCTGTATAAACTTTCCTGAATTTTTTTGATAAAATTAAGTTATGCCACCCCTTTATGCTGTCTTAGAACTTTGTTCTGTTCTCAAGGCTATTCTGCAGCTAATCTCATGTTCTACTCAATTACGTTACTGCATCACCCACTAGATGGCAGGCTCTTTGAGAGTAGAAGATTCCCTTGTTATCTCTGGATCACTGGTACTTGCAGAAAGCCTGGTATGTAATAATTGCTCAACAATTAGTTTTTTAATAAATGAATTATTTTTAAAATGCCAAAATTACAATGATTGTGCATTAAGTGAAAGATGATCATCTAAAAACATAAAGCCATGTTTCATGACGTTGGTCTAAGCAAATAAAGGAAACAAAGGCAAAAACAGACAAACAGAATTACATCCAACTAAAAAGCTTCTGCACAGCAAAGGAAATAATCGATAGCGGTAGAAGACAACTTATGAAATGGGAGAAAATATTTACAAACTATACATCTGATAAGGAATTAATATGTAAAATATGTAAAGAACTCAAGCAACTCATTAGCAAGTAAACAATACAATTTAAAAATTGGCAAAAGACTTGAATAGACATTTCTCAAAATAAAACATGCAAATAGCAATCAGGTATATGAAAAAATGTCCAACATCATTAATCATCAGGGAAATGTAAATTTTTTTAAAAAACATAATGAGATATCATCCTACACCTGTTAGAATGGCTGTGATCGAAAAGACAAATGATAACAAGTGTTGGCAGGGATATGGAGAAGAGGGAACTCTTGTACACTGTTGGCAGGAATGTAAATTAGTATAGACAGTATAGAAAACAGTAGAGGTTCCTCAAGAAATTCCAAATAGAACTACCATATGATCCAGCAGTCACACTACTGGGTATACATCCAAAAGAAATGAAATCACTGTATCAAAGAGATATGTGCACTCCCATGTTTATTGCAACATTATTCATAATAGCCAAGATATCAAATCCACCTAAATAGATAAAGAAAATGTGGTACATACACACAATGGAGTACTAGTCAGCCAAAAGAAAAGGGGGGGAAATCCTATCATTTGCCAAAACATGGGTGAACCTGGAAGGCATTATTTTAAGTGAAATAAGCCAGGCACAGAAAGACAGATACTGCATGATCCCACTCATATGTGTAATCTAAACAAGTTGATTCCATAGAAATACAAAGTAGAATGGTGGTTACCAGGCGCTGGGGCAGTTGAGAAGAGTGGGGTGGGGTTGGGGAGATGTCAGTCAAAGAATACAAAATTTTAGTTAGATAGAAGGAATAATTTCAAGAGATCTATTATACAACGTGGTGACTGTAATTAAAAATATACTGTATTCTTGAAAAATGCTGAGAGTTAATGTATTCTCACAAAAAAATGATAGCTATGTGAGGTAATACATACATTGATTAGCTAGGTTTCGTCATTCCGCAATGTACATACACTTTAAAACATCATCTTTTACACATAAATATATACAATTTTATCTGTCAGTTTTTTAAAATAAAATAAATAATGAAAAGAAGTAAAAAATAAAGGTGTGAACTCAGGAGATTGTGCATGAGGCTTTCTCATGTTTTCAATCAAATCGACAATTTTACTAGTGGCCGAATTTTTGTTTAGCATATTGACATGGAATTTGTTAAACTCTCAGAATGAATTGTTCACTTTCAGTTTGTCAAAGCATGCACTAGAATCTCATTTGGGGAAGAATTAAATAACAGACAAGAAAGTAGAAACCTAGTGCAAAGTGGGCATGTCCTGCTAATGGGTGTACATTGGTTGACAACAATCAGTTGAGGCATGCTTGCCATAACAAATATTTTTTATCCTTGACTCTTCTCTTTCTCATAGATGTTACACCCAATCAGCAAATACTGCTGGCTCTCTAGCTTCAAAATAGAACCTAAACACTTCTCGCTACCCCCAAAGCACACTATGCCAGGTCGCCCTCACCTCTCACTTGGATTAGTGGAGTCATGCAATAGCCTCCTAACTGTTCTTCCTGCTTCCACCTTGCCTCTTCCACCTTTGCCTCAAGTGACTACATCTACCAAGGTGACCATTAGAAAACGTAGTTTGTCTCCTCAAAATCCTTTGATGACTCTCCATTCTTATGAGTTCAATTCAAAGTCTTTGCAAGGGCTTACAAGTGCCTATGCCCTGTCCTCTTCTCTCCCATTCACTCCCTGACATCTTCCTCTGCTGTTCTCCACCCCTCTTACATCACTGTAGCCATGTGACCACCTTGTTTTTTCTCAGATATGTCAGTTTTGCTCCTGACTCCAAGCCTTTGTATTTACTGTTTCCTCTGCCTGATACTCTCTTCCCTCAAGATGTAAGCATGACTGATACCCTCACCTCCTTCAATTCTTTGCTCAAATGCTGCTCATTGTGGCTTTTCCTGATCACCCAATTTAAAACTTTGTACACATGCCCATTCTGGTATCATTTAATCTATTTTTGCCATTATATTCTCATTCAGAACTCCCAACACCTTCAAATATAACAACAATTTACTTGCTGATTTTTTGTCTGTCTTTTCCCAGGAATTCTTTATCTTTTTCACTGCTGTTTCTTCAGAGTCCTGTAGAATGCCTGGCATAAAGGAGCTGCTCAATTTCTATATCCAGAATAAATGCAAGTATATGTGGTGTGTAAGTGCAAGAGTGTGTAAGCAAGCGTATGCATGCGCAGACATCAACATTTATACCTAAAAACTCTAGTGCTCTGGAATATCGACACTGTTCATGCATGTGTGACCTCACAGTGGAATGGGAAAATCCATTTTTGAAGGAAAGCATTCATTGTCGAGGGAAGAAGACAGAAGCGTGAAGGGTACAAGTAAAGGAAACTCAATGTTTTCTCTTTCTTATGACTTTCTGGTCTGAATATCTTAATTCATCTGAAAAGTTATTTTGTATTTCATCGTACGTAATATGCAATCCATATAAAGATTTCTTCTTCTATAAAACATGTTTGTGTAATTTTCCAATTTCTCTATTAGGCAATTTGTCTTTTTCTTATTGGTATGTAAGGAATCTTTATGTATTCATCTTACTAATTATTTGTCATAGGTGTTGCAATATTTTCTCAATTTATAGTATGTCTTTCACTACATTTATGATGTATTGGATGAACAAAAATATATAGTTTTAACACAGTTTAATTTATCACTTTTTTATGTTATGGTTAATGCTTTTTGTGCCTTAATAAATTCTTCTTTTCTGTAAAGTCAGAAAGAGATTTACCTCTATTTTCTACTAAAAATTTTAAAGTCTTGCATTTGACATTTAAATTTTCAATTTTTCTGGTGTTCATTTCTGTATGGACTATGAGAAAGAGATCCAAAGGTTTTTTTTTTTTTCTTTATAGATCCAACATTTCTAGCTCCGGTTTTTGGATAGTTCTACCTTTGCCTACACTACTTTTCATATATGAAGCCCCAACATATATATGCATCCATTTCAGAGTCTCTATTCTGCTCCACTGGTCCATCTGTCCATCCTTCACTAGCACCATTCTACCTTCATTACCTAAGTAATTACTTATAACTTAAGTCTAGTTTTTAGTAAGGCAAGTCCTCTTCTTCTGTTTCTTCAGAAGTATCTTGCCTTAAGCTCACTAGTAATTATTCAAACAAAAGTCAAGACTGCAGTGTGACCCCACGTTCTTCCCATTCAAAATGGTCAAAATTGAGAAATCTGATAGTAGTCCTTTGCAAGGATGGGAAGCAGCATATATTACTCGTGGCTTTGGAAATTGGTATAACACTTTGAAAAGCAGTTTGGCATTGTCATGTAAAGCTGAGCATTTGCATACCATGAAGATCCAGGAATCCTGCTCCTAGATATGTACTTAGAGAATTTCAAAGGAAAGGAGCATTAAACGTAAATTACTTGGAATGTTCAAGTGCCGAAGTTGAAGGTAGGTTAATGGTGGCATATTATACAAAGTAATTAACTGAGTAGAAGAAGGTTACCTGTAGACTAATGAAGATGATGTATAATTGTGCCATTCAGATTAGAATAACAAAACAATCAGTGTAGATATTCCTAATCAGTCGTCTGTCTTGAATACTCTCCTCCAGAAAGTGACACAGGAATTTAGGCTGCTTCCACCTCTGAATAATACCATCTCCTAAAGCCTGGGAGTCCTTTTCTTCCAGCTTCAGGATGAAGAATGAGAGAGCATGGCACACCTCCTCTTATCTAGAAGTAATATGTATTCTTTGGTCTCACATGATGGGTGAGAACCAGTTAGCTGGTCCATCTAGAAGCAAGGACAGAGTGGGAGAATAGAGAATGGAGTTCCATCTGGGAAATGTAATCTGAATCAGTACCTGAAACAAAGAGCAGATGAGGTCTAGCACGACCTGTCATAGCAATACGATTATGATTAATCTGATGGTGCACTTCAGGTTCAAGTCTCTAAAGGATAAAAATAAAGCAAGATTACTGTGATTATTATTTTCTTGGAAACGTGCCTGCAGTACATCTCTTAAATTGTACATCTTTTTTCCCTAAATTAAAATAGTGTTCTTGTATTTTCTCTTAGAAAAACGGTATGGTTACTGTAAAGAAAATCTAGACACTACAGAAAAAGTTTTTAAGAAAGTACAATTCACACAAAGTCCACTACCCAGAGAAAACCACTTAACCATAATAGATGGACCTTCTTCCAAACAGCTCTCTAGGTAAATGTGCGTATGTATATCATTTCACGGTCTTTCTACAGCATTCAGTGGCTGGAGATTTATTGTACATTTGCAATGTGTGAAGCTTTGTACTAAGTACAAAAGGGCATTAACCCACTTATTTAATCCTTAAAGCAATATAATGAAATAAGTAGAATTATTCTCTACATTTTATAGATGAGAAAATTGAAACTTAAAGAGCTTAAGAAATTCACTAAAAATCGCAAAGTTTGGTGATGATAAAGATTCAAACCCCGGTCTACCAGATTCCAAGCCCAAGCTACTACACAGTGCCCTATACTGTCAGATATTTTGATCCACCACTAATACCATCTTGATGGGTCCTTAAATTATTTCCCTGTTTTTCCAACCATGGACTACACAGCAATAAGAATATACATTTCTTTGAACTTTGTATGCTTGCCTATACATCTCTTTAGCATAAGCTCCCTCCAGGAAGCTTGCTGAAGACAGTCTCTTACTTTCATACTGACTGCTTTCTTTAAAAGACATACAAAGGTTAAATGTATGAAAATGAAGCTGGCTGGAAGATTGATGCCATATCAGATAGCTCTCCATTGCTTGTCCACTGATCTACAAAGCCATAATTGTAATTTGAAAGTCAATTTATGGGTACTGATGTATAATAAATGAAACTATGTCTGATAGTAAAGTCAAAATAGAACCTAATTTACACGCCCATCAATAAGGCATGAAAGCATCTATTTTCCCAAAGTTTTACCAATACTGGGTTCTACCAATTATTTTACCCATTGCAAACTTATAGATGATAGGTTATTGGTTCTATCTCATTATTCACTGCTTTTACTGGTTGATAATCAAACAGTAAAGTTAATGATCTTTTATGAATTGCCTTTCATAATGTTTTCTATTTTCTTTAGAATGTCCCTTTCTTTTTCTCTTTGTGAGAGTGCTTTGATCACAACTGTTTTCCCAACTATAACAATGCTAGTAATGCATAAAAAGTAAAGATCGTAGGTACATATATGTTTACTCAATTTTGGCTTTTAACAGGAACTATATATGCTTGTTGCAAAAGTAAACAGTGTTCTAACAGAAAACTGCAGCTTTAGAAAGATAGATAAAATATTTCAGTTTTCTTACTTCTTGCCTGAGATCTAGAACAAGAGTTTCTGTAAGAGAAAAGTATCCTGTAGCTCTGACATTTTGGAAGGGACACTCATCAAATCACCAATGAGTAGAACACTACTTATTTCCTCAGAGCTCTTCTATTATGTCACCCTTACTTATTAAGTAGATGACTTATCACAAAGAAATACCACTGAAAAGGGAGGAAAAGAAGCTCCATGGCATGGCTACAAGGACAGGTTCTAGCATAAACTGGCTTTGAGGAGTCAGTTATTTGGGCCTTTTGGTGGCTCAGTCCTCCCATCTTTACATTGAGAATAATATTCATCAACCTCGTGGAAAAATGTTGGAAACTGGTGATATTACATCTGCAAAATACTCAGTAGCAAGATAAAATACAGATTACAAGTCTAGTATGTAACCACGCTCTTTCTCTTTTGCCTTGTACCTGGGATCACAGAGTCTGTCAGACAAGAATGCAATTAAGGAAATGAAATTAAGGAAATTGGGTAGTTTGTGGATACATTTTTATCTTCAACTTCAGGTTAATTAAAAGGGAAAGAGAAGAGAGAGAGAGAGAGAGAAAGAGAGAGAATAGTATGTAATATAAATTGAGCCAGTGGCCTGAGCACACTCCCAGAGGTTTCTAAGCAGAGTTTAGTAGGCACTGCCAGTGGATGCTGTGAAGATAAGTGGAATTTCATACTTTGATTTTCAATTCGCCACCAAGATCCCTCCTGGCCTAAAGCAACACTACTAGCAGTATGATGTAATATCTGAAATCCTTCTATTAAAATCATTCACTCAAAGTCATTCATTCATTCATGCAGTGGACTATATATATTACATATATAATACCTATATAATATATATAATCCATATGTATTATATATATTACATATATAATACCTATATAATATATATAGTCCACTGCAACATAAGTGCTATAGTAGCTTGATCAATTATTTGAAATGAAATTTGACTGTGTAGGAGCCACAGGTGATTCTGGAGTGAATAAGGCATAGACTCATCTCATTCTCAGACATTAATATTGGACTTTGATTAATGCATTGATGATAGACTGTCACTCTGTGAAACAGAGAAGGCACCTAAGGAAATGCACAGTGAAGCTCAGTTCTGAAGGAAGAACAGTGGGAGGGATGATCTACCAGCATTTCCCAAAGTGTTTTATACCAAGCATTTGTTCTGCCATCTGGGGAGAGGGGTCCATTTCTAATAAACTTGAGAAATTTGGGGCATTACTAATTCATAGAGCATATCACTATGTTAAAGCCTCTGAGAAATCATATAGTAAAATTTGGCTAACCCAACATTTCCCAACTATTTTTGACTATAGAACCATTTTTCACGGAACACTTTAACCAGCTGGAGACATATTTCACCCTATAGAGGGTGATACTAAAAGGTTCTTGTCTTGGGGGCGAGGTGTTAAACACTAGGGTCTTCCCCTAGTGTTTAGTAAGAGAGGCTGGGGAGATTTTGATGGTGAATTCAATACAGGGGGAGACAGAGAACTTGATACTAAACAGAAATCCAGTTGGATTATATGGTTTTTAGTGGAATTTCAAAGCCTGTGGAAAAATTTTGGCTCTGTGGTATTTTATTCATGATTACTGTTCTGCTTTTGCTTATTTTCCGATACCAGGGAATGTGTAATTGTACCTCTTCTTTTTCTCATGGTTTAAAAAACTCATCTCACCCTGGTCTTACTCGATAACCACTTAAAACAATAACTAATGCTATTGACTCCAGAAATTGCTAATAATGAATGACCTTTTACATGATTTCTTTTTATTTTTACATGAGATACTATGCAAAGAGAATTAATAGTTTTCTCCAAAAAAAAAATCAAGACTTGTATAGAAAAACAATTAAATAGGTATTTTATTGCCATGGACTTCAAGTAATGATGGTTAAATCTGTAAAATTATATTTAATAACTTGAGTCACTGCATTTTTAAATTAGTGAATTCAAATGAAATATGCTAGATAGGTATTACTAGATGGTTGCAAAAGTAATTGCAGTTTTTGCCACTGGTAATTAATTCTAACGGCAAAAACTGCAATTACTTTTGCACCAACCTATATCTATATCTGACAAATATTATGTATAATAACTTCATATTAATAGCACAACACAAGAATCAACACACTATAGCTGCCTTCTGTTTGAGTAAATAAAGTTTTATTAGAACATGGCAATGCCTATTTGTTTACATATTGGCTATGGTTGTTTGTACACTGCAACAGCAAAGTTGATTTGTTGCATGGTCATCAAAGCTTAAAATATTTGCCATCTGGCCCCTTACAGAAAATATTTGCTGACCTCTGGGTCAGATCCTGATTCATATTTATTAAAATGTTATGTTCAATGGGATATCAACCATGTAACGTAAGTAGAGATGAAAAAAGCCTAAAGAGGTACACCAAAACATTAACAATGAAAAATTCCCCCAGGAAGTTACCGAGTTCATGGCCAAGATGGGAAAGTGAGAATATCTTCTCATATTTCATGCCCTTGTATCATTTATTAGCTATTTTATTTACTTATTTCTTTTTAGTGAAAGTATGTGGTATTAGCACGCAGTACTTTCTCATCAGGTGGGTTTAGAGTCTCCTTCGTTTTTTAATAAAAGATATACAGCCACCAAAAATCTCAAAAAAATTTCTAAAAATATCTGTGGTTATCAAAAGGTTAAAAACCACTGCCCTGCACTATACAGCATGTATTACTCAGGGCCAGTAACCCACAAGCCCAACAGAGGAAGTGTTGCGTGTTGACCACTACTCAGAAATTGCCTATAAATAGTTTTGGTTACATTGCTCATTGATAACAGATCAATGGTGAATCTAAACAGAACAGGTGATTGAGTCAAAGTAACCAACTCTCCAGGGAAGATTAGGTTGGGAAGAAAAAAGACACCAGTCTCTATGATGGCAAGCTAACCATTCTTTCAGGAAGCTAAAACTAGTAAGCAGAAGAGTATTTTTTCAGATGACTGCCATTTTTGCCATAAGATGTACCAGAAACAAAACCCTCTGTGGTACAGAATTCAAAGCATTTATGGATTTCCTAAGCTGGACATTGGCCAGACCCTATCTACCTACCAAAGATAGATGTACCAGCCAGAAACTGAAGTCCAACGTCAGTGGCCAAAAGCCATCCTAAGGATTCTTTCCTTGAGAAGCCACATACTATAGTGGGGACCATGAACTGTAAAACCATATTAGCCAGGATCTTTGTGGGCTTAAGTGATCCACCCGCCTCAGCCTCCCAAAGTGCTAGTATTACAGGCATGAGCCACCACACCCGGCCTATTTTATTATTATGAATAACAATGATCGATTTTTATGGAATCAGCCAGGTCTACGATTCTCTGCTCTCCCGTACTTGGCCTTCTCCCCACATCTGAAATATCAGGACAAAGAAGCATGCACATCACTGCACATGATTGATATCAAGCTGGAAGACATTTTCATTTTCCCAATGAAAAGATCAGTCACAAATACAAAACCTTTTGATGGTAGAATAAGAGGGCATGGAGTGCTATGCATTACCTAATTTTCAG